TCCCCTCCTTCCCCTCCTCTCCCTCCTCCTCTTCCTCCTCCTCAGTCCTGGTCCTCCTCCTCCTCCTCTCCTCCTTCCTCCTCCTCCTCCTCCTCCTCCGTCCTTCCTCCCCCTTCCCTCCTCTCCTCCCGTCCTCCTCCTCCTCTCCTCCTCCTCCTCTCCTCCTCGGTCCTCCTCCTCTCCTCCTCCCTCCTCCTCCTCCTCCTCCCTCTCCCCCCCCTCCCTCTCCTCCTCCTCTCTCCTCTCCTCCTCCTCCTCCTCCTCCTCCTCCTCCTCCTCCTCCTCTTCCTCCTCCTCCTCCTCCTCCTCCTCCTCTTCCTCCTCCTCCTTCCTCCTCTCGACTGCCTTTCGATACGGGCTCCACGGTACCGGCCGCGCCGAAGCCCTCACGAGGGCGCCTTGTCGTTGGCGCCGAACTTCGTCCAGGCTGGACGGCTCAGCCTCGCCTGCCACGCGAGGCGGCGGCTCCGCTCGGGAACCTGCCATGGGGCACGGAGCCCCATCTTGCCTTCTGTCTGGCAGCCCGCTCTTCGGCCGCTCATGGGCTGGGGGCTGCCAGGCGTGCATCTTTCCTTGACTATGTGGTCCTTGCCTTCTCGTCGCAGTCGTCGTCTCTTTCGGGCAGCCCGCCCTTCGGCCTAGTGGCTGCGGGCTGCCCTCCGTAGTGATGTGCGAGTTGAGGCTCATGTCTTGGGGGCAGCCCGCCCTTCGGCCACCTGGCTGCGGGCTGCCGCGCATGGCTGTGTGCTCGTTGTTGCCGTCGTACGCCTTCTCGGGTGCCGTTGGACTGGATGATTTGCAGTAGCTTGGCCATCGTGTATGTGCTCTTGACATTTCGTCTTTTCCATCCGTGCCAGATGCAATATCAGTCGCTGGACCCCCGAGCTCACGTGGCGACCTGTTGCCCAGTAGCCGCAGTGGCACACTAGGTCTTTGCGTTCTAGCACCCTCCAACTTACGTGGCGACGTCGTGCCTAGTAGCCGCATTGGCACACTAGGGCTTTGCGCTCTGACTCCAGGTTCCAGACAATACTGCATGTCTGCCAGAGCTGCTGCCGTTTGACGGTCGTCTCCGCTGCGTGCAATCTCGTAGACGTTCTTGGGGCTGCAGGTGTGGTTGACGACGGTTTTGCTGCTGGCGGTGTTGTCGCTGTTGTCGCCGTTGGTGATGTCCCCTTCGTCGCTGTATTTGATGTAGCTATCGTGGCTGGTGTTCGTGTCGTTGGCTGGTGCTGAGCTAGATACTCCGAAGCCCCATCTAGCAATGATCATCTCGTCGAGCTGGGCAGCTGCGGCGTAGTCAAAGTCCTCGGTGGCGGTATCCTTGAACCTGGTCTCGTGAATGGGGTCTGCCGAGTTGGTGACTGTCTTGATGGTCCCGAGCTCGTGGTGGTTAGCCGCGCCGCATGCCGCAGCGGTGTGCTTGATGATGTGGTGGCTCTCGGGGGTCGTCCAGAAGATGGAGTCCTCGGCGTGTAAGGCGAGGAAGGGTACCTTGGCTTCTGCGGCTGCATTTATGGTCATGAGGATCTCTCTAGTGACGGAATTGGCCGAGTGCAGCTCGCTGGCTATCCTTTCTGTGGCGTCGGCTGGTCCCCATGGCTTTTCCTTAGAGCGACGGCTACTGGCGTAGTCGGTGGTGACCTCGGCATTGTCGTGGCTGTACCAAGTCTTTCTCGGTAGCTCGGCGTATGTGGCGGCGATCTCGCCTTTCATGATCTTGTCGCGGGTGATATGTAGGTCGTGATCCGATATCGGTGCTTCGGAGTCGTAGTTGGAGTCGATCGTGCGGTAGTCCAATCTGCTCATGCTAGAGGTTGTGCTGGTGGCCATGATCTGTTGCAGGTCGCTGTGTTGCTGAGGGCGATCCGTGATGAATACAGCTTCCTGTCGTTCGGCTGGCTCGGGCACCTTAAGTGCAGTAGGTTGGGGTACCGTGGGTTGGATGGCAGCGTAGACCTTGGGAAGGGCGGGGGACGTCTCGGGGAGTGGGAGTGGCGTGATGTCGATCTTGTAGGCGGGTATCTCGCTGAAGGTCGCTTGTCGGCCGCACTTCTTGTTTGCTGCCGTGGTCGTGGCGATGGCGTCGCAGTTGCCCGCGATGTGTTGCTCGGCAAGAGGTTCCATCGTCAAGGTGCGCCATGCGTGCCATGACTTGTGGCAGCGGTGGGCCACCGTGAGGTGCTTCGAGAGCCTCGGGAAGATATGGGACACCGTCTGGCAGCACCTGCACGCCATGCCTGTTGCCCGTCGTCGAGGGTTCTCGCTGTCGGGGTGGCCCCTTCCCATATGCACTGCCATTCCCTGCTTGGATGTCGTGCGGCCGCAGATGTAGCATACTTACTTAGTTTTGACGTCGTCGCCGGAGTGCTCTATCTCGACGGTGCTCCATGGGGCCAGGGGCATTTGGATGACTTTCTGGAACCGTGCTAGCTGGGCCTGGTCTCTTATGTAGTACAAGTAGGACTTCGTGGTCGCCTTGACCGCGTTGGTGAAGTGCTTTGGTCTTTGTCGAGCCCAGTTGGTGATGTCGTTGTCTTGCCGGTCCTTGCTCGGTCATCTGTCTTGTGGGAGGTGTTTCCTGAGAGAGGCGAAGTCCTGCTTGAGGAGGTGGCTCCATGTGCCTCTAAGCTGTCGTTGTCTATCGAGTAGCTGTAATAGGACGGCGGGGGCGTGGTTCAGGAGGCGGGGTAAGTAACGTAATCGGGCTGCCGTCTGGTGTGCGTCGAAGTCGGGGATGCCCGTCTTCGCGATCGCCTCGCCGTTGGTGGCATGCTTGTCGGGCGTGTTCGTCTTGGGCATGGAGGCCGCCACTCGGCGGGGCCCCATATACTTGGTCGCAATGTAGTTGCGGTCTTTCTTGGTCAGGCGGTTCCAGGCGTGGCGATTTAAGTCAGCGACGAGGTCGAGAGGGCGTGGACGTGCTTCATCTTGGCCTTCATCGATAGCTTCCTGCGGCGGAGGATCTGCTTTTCCAGAGGTCTTGCAGCGCCGAGCGTTCTGTTGACCCTGAGGCAGATCTCGGGCCCCATGACCCCTCCCGCCACGATAATGGTGCCGAGGGCTTTCTGCTGGGTCACGAACGGACTTTGATGGGGATGTTCTCGAACTCGATATGGGTGACCTTGTCCCTAGCGGTCTTCTGGCGCTCTCTCTTGGCCCCGCTGCCGTAGTGCATGATGATGGCTTTCGTCTTGTCAGGGTGGGGCTTGAGTCCGCGCTGGCATGCTGCTGTGCATAATCTGGTGGCTGATAGTCGCGTCACCTGCGCTAGGTCGCTGGCGCTGGCGGTCGAGTTGCACTCTGCGAGGTCGTCAACGAAGGACGCGTTCCTGAGCGCGCCGCCCCCGTGAGGTGCAGCGGAGAAAAAGCGGAGCCTCACATGCATATATGTCGTGGCCTCCTGATGGTTGGCTGTTTTCTTCGGCTTCTGCGGCTGATTGGTCGATGGCCCGCGGCGTGATGGCGAAGTGAGCGTTGAAAGCGACATCGGCGGAACCCCAGGTCGCATGCTTGTCCGTGGTAGCTGATAGTGCTTGGCGCTCTTCGCCGCCGTCCAATTGGAGGCATGGTGGCTGGCGATCATGCGGCAGAGGTGCTCGTCGTCGATGCGTCGGTTGTTGTGTGCTGGCTGCTTCAGTCTGTCGATGAGCGAGGGTTTGAGGAATGCTGGAATATCGATTTGCTCGATGAGGTCGTTAAGTTCGTCGGCGGTTGTAGGGGGCTCCATGCATAATTTCTTGATGACGGAGTGGAAGGCTTCCCTGAGAGCGACGAAGGTCATGCTACCCGATCTGGCCTTCCTCTGGTATTCGGCGATGAATGCGAGAGGTGTGCGGGTGGTGAAGTCTGTCGCCATCTTGGGTCTCGCTCCACACTGCGCTGCTTCCGAAAGGTTGAGCAGCAAGCCTTTCGCTCTGGAGCGCAGAGAGCTGCCGTGCATCTCCCCGATCGTGTTATTGAGGAGGATGCCGCGATCGGACTTCTGCTGATCTATAGCCCCCTGCCCCTTGTAGAAGTGCGTGGAGTGCCCGCCCTTGGCAGCGATGGGCTCGGTGCTCTCGATCTGGGTCTTGACCAATGTAGGATGTAGAAGACGAGCCACCTCTTCGGGGTCTGATCTGGCCACGTCGTCTGTAAGCTGGTCTGGCCCTCCTCGTCGTCCTCTCTTGGCGGCAGCCAGTTGGCTGGTGAGCTGGCGTCTGGGTGATGTTCTGAATCTTGGGTGAAGGTCGGGTTGTGCCGGTGCGCTCGCTGTAGTCCTTGGCTACCCCGTCGGCGTCGGTCATCTTGCTCATCTCGATATTGCCGTAGCGTGCCAAGGCGTGGTCGGCTTTCTCGGTTTTGGTTGTGAAGGGTTTTCCGTCTTCAGTGCTGCGAATGATGGGTGTAGGCGGCTTTTTTTGGTTTTCGCCCTCCGAAGGCCAGCAGTCGCTTGGCATGTAGGGCCTCTTGCCGCGGTGCATGATCGCCGACGGCGGTGTTCATTTCGTCGGCGGTGTTCTCCAGGAGCGCGTCGCGGTCTTCTCCGACCCATTTCCTGAGCATCGGCTTGGTTGAGCTGAGGAACGGGACGATGGTGTCGTAGTAGTGCTTGGCGCTTTCGAGGTGGTCGGTTGTTGTTGCAGTGGCTCTGGGCGTTGCACTGTCTGTTTTTTTTTTGCAGAGTGCAGAGGTGCCGAACAGTATGGATGCGGTGCTGAGTTGGGCGTAGACGTTGATGTTGGCCAGGAGTGCCGCGTCCGCTGGGTTGGGGGGCATGGCGTCGCGCGATATGAGCTTTGCTGTATATCGGGGCTGCTTCGTGCCATATTCGTTGGTGATCCCGTTCTCCTTGATGATCCGGGTCGTCCTGAGCAATGATCGGCGGGCGCGTAGAAGGGCACATGACCGATTTGAGATGCGGGGCTTGTGTGGGGCGCGGCCATGGGGGCGGAAGCGCTCGTAGGCAGCCTCTTGTGATCTTCTCGGTGATGGCGGCGAGGTGGTCGTTGATGTTGCTATCCCATGTCGGGTGCTGGGATGTCGCGTAGCTTGTCGCTGAACTCCTTGCGGCAGGCGTCGTCTGCTAAGTTGTGCTCGTCGAGCTTGGGGGCGCCCTTGGAGGTCGATGCCGCGATCTCACGTGCGAGCTCCAGCTTGACGGGGTAGCGATCATCCTTGGAATCGGGGTCGCAGCCGTTGTCGATACCATACAGAACAGAGCAAGCCTCGATCGAGTCCACGTAACCATTGGGAATGACGACGTAGTCGATGCGGCGGGGGTTCTTGCCTGAGTGCCAGGTGTGATGCTCGGGCCCTTGGCTGACGAACGTCGCCAATCGCTGTGCTCATGATGTCACCTGTCCGGGGGGCCTGGCGCGGTCACGCGGATGATGAGGAGCCTGGGGTCCTTTTCGATGACGATGAATTGGTCGGGTTAGTAAAGTTCTCGCTTGCAGCATTTCCCGCATGGCTTGTTGAGGGGGACATGGAGCTCGCATCCGTAGTTATAGCCCTCGTGGCCGCTGGAGATGACGCGGTAACTGTTGGCGTTGGCGCAGGAGGCGTCGCCCTCCTTGTCTGAGTCGCGCATACCCAATGGCTCCCTGGCTTTCTGAAAGCCGATGATGTGTAAGTCTTCGTCGTAAAGGCTGGCCATGGTGGTCTTGAGTTTGTTGATATTCTCGCTCCTTCGTTTTGCTCCTTCTTTAGGCTCCCGACCAGTCTGGATGTTGAAGGTCGCGATGTTGATTTCTATCTCGGTCCTTCTATCGCTGGCCTCGGTCGGCATGTGGAGGTGGCTTGCATTGGCGGCCGCGGGGGCGTAGGTTGCCGTGAGGCTGCCATGCGCGAAATTGGGGTAGGCCTCCTTGGTGTTCTCGTCGGCGTCGAGCAGGAACTCCCAGTCCCGTTGGTAAGTGCCGTCCATTATGCTTGCCCATTCTTGCTGTTGAACTGGTGCCGCGGCGATTCGTCCGCGATTGGAAGCCGCGTCGGCAACTTCCTTCCAGGGGTTGTTCCCATGGGCGTGGACATGCTGCATGTCGATCTTCTGCCTGGCCATGTCGTAGAGGATGCAGAGAGTCCTAATCGGGATCGCGGTTGGTGAAGGCCGCCCTCTTCGCAAGCTGCAGGGCCCCCAGCGAGTCCGCAGATATCGTGGCGACGTCGTCAAGGTTGCGGTGGGTGACCCAGGCCAAGGCCCACATGAGTGCGGTGATCTCGGTTGTGGTGGATGTGGTCTCCAGGTTGCTGTTGTCCTTCACGGCGATGCCGGTGGCATTCCTACGCTTGCCTACTGTCGCTCCTTGAAATGTGAAGCCGCTTTCGTCTTTCCCCACGATGATCACTGCCCATGCGTCTTCGTTCGGCTGCTTGGGGCGCTTAGAGCCGTCGGTGAAGAGGTGGAACCTGGCGCGCGGATGCAGTGGTCTCGGTGGGTGGTGGCGAAGCATGCACTTGGTTGTCTCGTTGGAATTCGAATGTTAGTGTCGGGTGCTTGGTTTGCTGTAGTGTCTGTTTGATGGTGGGTCTTGCTTGAAGTCGACACGGTTCGGCGGCTGTGGCGTAGGTGGAGCTGGTTGCTGCTGCTGGAGGACGGGTGGAAGTGGCATCTTGGCAGAGGGAGCTCGGAATGGTTGGATTGCCTTCCCCGTGGCGGCTCTGATCGGTGCGGCTGCACGGGGGGGGGGGGTCGAGGTTGCCGCGATGTTGTAGGGACAGTGCGGTGGTAAGGGGTAAGTGGGGGTTTGGGTATTGTGGCTGTGGCGTCGATGCTATGTGCGAGTGATGTAGGGGTCGTTGCTTGAAGTGGTTGTGTGCTGTGGAGCCTGGCGGGGGAACTGGGCTTGACGGCTGGTGGGTAGTTGTGGTGCTGATGTGGGGTGTCTAGGTGTGCGTCTTCAATTTCTGGGATGTCGTGTGGGTTAATGCCGCTGCCGAAGGCCACTAGGGAGTGCTCGGAGTCGTTGCTGGCTCTGGGGTGTCGCCAGGGTCCAGGCATCTTGTCGCCATGGTGCTGATCTTGGTGCAGTACTTCGGCGAAGGGCAGTCGTTGCTG